CATCAAATCGGTAGACAAAGAGACGACAGAACGCACTGGAATGTTGATAAATTCAAATCGTAATCGTAATCAGCATAGAAAAAAGTCAAAGTACATGCCAACACACACAAATGCAAACATGCACACACATACACATATATGTATACTTATTAAGACTATTTAATATAGCAACGAGCAATGCAAAAACGACTATTGAGTGCTGCACGCTGACGCTGAATCTGGAACTGATGGGCCTGAACGCATTCATCTGGTTTGAATAAACACGAGACAGTGTGACGCAGTAGACGGTTATTAAAAGAAAAATCCGACGGGCCGGGGGAAGATATTTACATACGTGAGAGTGTGTTGAGAAATGTGTGCAAGTATGGGTCAATTTCTGTAAACCTTAATGCATTTGTATGTTTTTGCATAACACCCGACTTTTATGGAGTGGCCGATTTGCATGCTGTCGCGCCGGTCCAATCAAAGGCGTAAAAAGCGACGACAAGCGGACGGACAATCGACGTGGTATCTATCGAACGGCAAGCGGAATTAAGCTGCAGATCGGTCATATGAAAGTAACAAAGCAGCAATGTGTACACTGAGAAAAAAAAACGCATTGTAAAAATTAAAATTTTTTATTTGATTACCGTTTAGAAATGTTCGTATTTAAATCAAGTGAAAACACATTTACATGTAGGGCTGTAGCTGAGTGCGCAAAGACGCTAAATACAATTGGTTGTTGCCAAGATGGTCCGGGTTCAATTACCATCAGACGGAACATAAAATTAAATTTCATTTTCCTTTCCTTCTTAATTGCGAAAAAGCATCTGTGCACTTCACAGCGACATATTTTATAGCGTACATACTCAAATTTAAAACGAGCTGAGTTGGTGCTCTTTCATATGCGTATTTTTTTAAATTTAGCACGTTTTTTTTTTAATTCTTAAATTTTTTCCCTCAGTGCACATACATATGTACGTATGTAAATATGCATAATCTTACGCTTATATGACTGTATTGTAGCACACTGTTATATGTACTGAAAAACTGCGATACGCACTCAAGGCAAATGAACGGAATGAAACGGTAAGTATGAACGGATAGATGGATTGGTGGACGACAGACGCGGGTTACTCAACTGGACGATAACCATTTACCAACGTACATAAGTATGTATGCAACTAAAACAGCGAAGGAATGTGTCTCCACTCGAATGGAATCAGAAGGAAGGGTGATTGGTTGCTTGGCTGGTCGGTTGGTCGGTTGGTCGGTTGGTCGGTCGGTTACGCTGAGTGATTGCTGGAAGCTTAAGTATGTAGTAAAAAAATGATTTATGCCACGATTAATGCATTTCAGAAGTGTGTTGGAAGAAGAAGCAAAGTTATGATTGAATATTTTCGGCGGTAGGCAGATTGTAATTCAACAAAAGGCGAAACAAAATTAAAATTAGAAGAAACAAATAAGAATCGAATAGTGTTCGTGAAACTTAAAACAAAACTCAAGAAAATATAAAACAAATAATAGAATAAAATAAAATATAATATAATAAAATAAAAAAATAAAATAAAATAAAATAAAATTAAATTAAATAAAGAGGTAAAGGTAAAGTTAGTAATAATATAATATATAATATTAATAAAATAAAAAGGTAAAGTTAAGTAAAACAAAAAAGTATAAATAAGATAAAATAAAGCCCAATAAATTAAACATTAAAATTAAAATTAAATAAACTGAAATAAAATAAAATGAAATAAATAAAAATGAAACAAAATAAAATAAATTAAAATAGAATAAAATATTACATACATAAACACCAATCTTTGCTTTATTAATTTTCTTGATTGTCATTATTTAGACCGAGTTAATCCTTAAATTGAAGTTTTATTTAATTGCTGGGGCTCTAGCTAATTAAGAGTTATCATAATAAAAAATAAAATACGTATACAAGGAAAGTGGAATAAGACAAAAGTAATGAAAAAAATTTCAAAAAAATTAAAACAAGAACTAATTAAAATAAATTTAAAAGCGTAAAATTTACAATCTGAAAGTAAAGTTTAAAGTAAAATTTTAAATGTTAAGTAAAATTTTAAATGTAAAAAAAAAATTTTAAAAACTAAATATAACAAGAGTAAAATTAAAAATAACAAAAAGTAAAATGACAAAAAAAATAAAATTAAAAGTAACAAAAAATTTAATTAAACAAAAGATTTTATAAAAAATAACAAAAAGTAAAATAAAATAATAGAATAAATAATAAATAATATGAAGTAATATAAATGCTGTTTTCACCATATGTATGTCATATTTTTGACCACAAAAATTTTCACTTTATTCTTCACTTAATTCGTGGCGTTGCCGATAATATTATTGACAGATAGCCGATTTAGCAGCTTAAGACTTATTATTCTCGAAATCAATCGTTGCGTTTTCACTTATTTGACGACAAATGCCACTGAATTTGACATAGTGAAAACCAGTCTTTATTTTTCATGTTTAAGTTTTTTCTGTGCACCACACCCACTGTAACTGCGGCAGCGAATAGCACAAATATATTAAGAACAACCGAGT